CATCAGTAGAAAGTACATCGGTTCACCTTGTTGGTACTATTGAGCTATCCATTGCCAGGTGGTCCTCTTTGTCCACCTTTATGAACGTGCTAGAGCGTCAACTTCTTTGCGTTCAATTCCGTGTTTCACCATCTAAAGAGATACCAGCCTATTGACTACACCATCTCCAAGCCCGGCTGCTGTGCTTCGACAGAGACGTTCAATGGATTGCCTGATTTTCGGGTGGAGTCCCGGTTCGACCTGTTTATCTAGGTCAGTTAACATCCTCGACGTTGACACGCAGCTGGTTTATATGAAGTAGGGTCTCACTTCGCCGCTTGTAAGATACATTTATATTTTGTATTATTAAGGTAATGCGAACTTACGTCAATGTAGACGCCCGGCATGTCGTACTTTTGTACAGCGCGGTCGTTGTCGCTAGGTAGATGTCTGTAGAACTCGACGTTGTTCTTGTACCACTTGACAGAGTAGAGATCGTCCTCCTCCAGGTCATAGCTACAGTTAAGCCAGATGGGGTCTCCTCGCTCCACCGCCCCGGGTACCTCCAGTCCGATCAATTTTAGACCGGCCACACCTGGGACAAATATTCTGGTTTAATGATTGGAATAGAGACATAAAAGTCTGGATTAAAACATATTTTTGTAGATTAACTATTTATAGAACAAATAGATATTATATTTTATAGTTTAAAGGAAAAAATACATCTTTTTTTTTCAGGATACGATATTAAAAGAAAAAAACGTTACCTCAATTCAACTGGCGGTATGTAAAAAATTCAATCCAAGTTAAGATACAAAATTATGGAAAAGAAGCCACGCCTTCATTTATTAGTCAACAGGTTAAGCTAGTTGACAGTATCTAGATTAAAGCTATATTGTTTTATAGCAGGTAACTAACTTTTTGTTCAACAGACAACAACATAAACTAACAGACAACATATAGAAATGCATCTTCTTATCGTGCGACTAAAATTTGCTAGTGGCTTGCGCCATCTGTCGAAATAAATCTCAACTTATCGTTGATTTTTTTTATTATTACAGAATTGGCCGAATACTCTTTCTTGATAATCTTGTGTAAGCTGTACCTCAACGTCCAAATATCGTATCTTTGAGGTTTCTTGAAACATTAAGAATTGGATATTAAGGGCCGTAATTCATATAGTTCCGTATTCTAACGATATACATGATAAAATGTAATTCTTTTTGTACATTATTGTATTCATTTATTTACTTAAATATTTACGTATTTTTAATATTTATTTATTTTTCCTCCTTTGTCTTGGTTTTTAATGAATTTTATAATAAATAATGTTAACTCGTCAATTCCAAATACATTTATTTTCTGTTTATATTTTTATATTATCTCTTTTTTTAAAATTTATTTTCATTCCATTTTTAAATTATTTCACTTTATTGAAATTTTACAAATGACAAGGATTTCTATAGAATTTGTAAATTACTTTTAAGTTTTCTTTGTCCAATAAATGATAGAGAGAGAAAAATTACTTAAAATATTTTGTGAATATGAAAGGTTTATTTTCTTTCAGATGTTTGGTTATATACATTTTATATATAATTGTATATTGAAAGAGAGAGATAAAATCGTAGATTCTTTAATATATAAATAAAAATATGTTTATATATTTTATCTTTTGAATCCACGTCCAATTGATAATCAAAAATAGCTATTGAATTTGAGAATAAAATAGATTCGACAGTACCTGGGGTTGTTACGATGTCAAAACAGCCACAATGCCTTCTGAAAATAGCCAGTACCTATTGTTATCTGTATAAAATAGATCAGTTTTTATGTGTAAGAACTTCCCTTTCGACAATTCATTGTTGACCGAATTATTGAAGCGGTTTTAGATTTTTTTTTTCATTATGACATGGATCTAAAAGGAGAATCTTCTATTTCCTTGTGATTTTTTAATTCCCATCTGTTTTTTTACGTTTGTATTTCTATAAAGTAGGTTTCGACCCTCCAAACTGAATGATTTCCAATACTTTTAATACATTCAACAAATCTATATTAACATCATTATTTCTCTCTATCTCTTTCACTTCTTTGGATATTCTAGACATAAATCTTTAGCTTATTGTTTTAAACTTTAAAAATATATTTTAAAAAATAAGCAATATACGTGTATACTTTTTATAGATAATGTTACGGCTATGTCCACGTTTTACTTTTGAAACAATATTCTTTTATAACGTAACTTTATTATTATAATTATTATTATGGAACAGAGGACGTTGGACCACCTTGCTACACATTGTGTAAGATTGCTTCCTTACGACTACACTGAGAAGCATAATGAAGTAGTGAGATGCGTCCACTTCAACTTGGCTAGAAAATATAATTTCACAGAGAACAACAAGATAAGGCTCCACAAAATAACGACTAAGATTGAAAATTCATACGCCAAAATAATAAGCGATATCAATATCAGAGCTAACAAACCTGATATAATAGTATATGACAAAATAAAAAAAGACCATAACAATCATAGAGATAGGCGTTACCTCCCAAGACAATATCCAAACTACGGAGTTAACAAAGAAAATACCAGCTACTGGCGAGGGAAATGGCTCAAACCGAAAAATGCCCGTAAAAGTAGTTCCGATAGTCTTAACATTGAATGGAATAGTAACAAAATATAACAAACAATATAGAAATGAAATAAACATAAGAAAAAAAGGACTTCGCATATATTCAATCCTTGGTCTTAAAATAGGCTATAAGATTATCTCAACAGAAAAGAAGAATGAACCTCACGATAAGTCCCAGAAAAATAAAGAAATAGAAGTCATGGATCGATTGTTGGAACGATGTAGGGAGCTGGCGTGTAAAGACGAGGAAGGTGGAAACCCGGACATGGAGCACAGGGATACGACGACCATAGAAGAGATCCAGGAGAACAACCTAGAGCAGATGATGACTGGAGACCTGACAGACAAGAATAGATCAAGGCCAGGGGATCGAGGAACCACCAGCAGAGGCCATAGAAAGACTGCTGGAGAGCTGGGGACCATATCTGCGAGGGCAACAGCACTGACCAGGAGTCAAGATAGCAAATGTAAATATCTTTGATTATTTTACAGTTATTATTTTTCGATGTTGTGAATAATAATATGTAAATAGACTGAAGATTCGTTAGTTTTTTAGAGAAAAACGTGTAACCTTTTTGAAAAATAAGTTTTTCTAATTATTATTATCAGCCATCTTTCAGGAGTAGTAACATGATAGTAATTAAAATTAGTATGGTTTTACCCTCATATTATAGCAAGGAATTTATTATTTTATTTACAGAGTGTCATTTTTTGTTTATATTTTGCTACTCTGAAAACTTATCCCATTGCTTATCTTTTGTTTTATCAATTATAGTTTGTTTTTGCCTTAAATAAATTGCTGTGTCACCCTGAAGTTTGTTTTTCCTAATTTTCCACTGGAATTTTGGTGGAGATGCTGGGTAAATTAGAAAAGAAAACTGAAGATCGCCGAGAAAACCTAAAGGCAGTAGGTGCTGTGATCTACATTTTCGGAGATTGGCTCCAAGATTCCACCGCCGTGTCAAAGCTAAGACTTCCCTCCAAGAAGACGATGTCCTTAGAGAGATACGATGACAAAGCCGATCTTCACGCCACAAGAAAAAAGGACGCAAAGGTACTAGCAACAAAGTTTCAAGACTTCGATGAAATCCTTGGCAAAAGCACGTCATATCCATGTCAGTAACTACAATAATTTTCACCTGTCGGTCACAGCTCCCATAAGGAAGGAGCTATGTAGCTAAGTATTTATTATTTTATTAACAGATTATCATTTTTGGCTTATATTTTGCTACTCTGTAAACTTTCCTCAATACTTGATCTTTTGTTCTATCGTTTTTAGTTTGTTCTTATCTCAATTAATTTCTGTGTCATCCTGAAGTTTGTCTTTCTTAATTTTCAACGTGGCAATTTTCATATGGTATGGGGATTATCCCATTATTTTAACTTCATTTCATAAAATGATCAACGCACAATTACGACATTTGAAAAATTTCATCCATTTTATTGCGCCTATATTTATTTTCAAATAAAATGATTTCTACTGACCTTACTGCAATGATACAAATAATAGGAGGGTATGGATTATCATTGGCGAACCTTTCCAGCGGTTTCGCAAGTTTAATTTACCTGTTAAATAATGATTATAACAAGGGCAGTATAAATTTGCTTCACTTGATAATAAACATACCCGCTTTACATTTTTATAACAATTAGAGCGCTAATTTAAATTGTTTAATTACTGTTTCAATTTGTACAAATTAATTATGAGTCAGATATATAATTATATTAGTATCGTTAAAATTAATTGTAAAATCGCGATACTATATAAATAGATAAATACCTCTTTTACACCAATAAATTTTAAATTTATTTATTTAAATCTTCGGATCGCACATCATTGTCTTAAAATTAATTAATACTAACTGGCCTTTTTTTTTTGTTCCTATTATTAGCGGAATAGAATAGCTCGATGCAAATATTTATATGTAATTATACTGTCCTTAAAGCATAGGTCCATAGTTTTCTTGAATACTATTTCTAAGATTCCACCCTTCAGTGTAGCATATATAAGTAGAATGATCCAATACAGTATTAGAGATCTAAAGAAGCGGTCTGGTAGATTAAATTGGCGAAAATCCTGGGAGTGTTCACCACGGATAGTCAGCCCCCCTCCCCCCCCAATATTTTTCATAGCTATAAGGACTGTAGAAGTTTATTTTATGTGTAAAATAAATATTTGTGCATTAATATTTCCATTTTTTCTTATGTTTAAATGACGAATAATATTGTCTTATAAATAATATAATTTATATTGAAATTATACCGCGAATGTTTCTTTTATGAAAATCGTAATTTATTTTCAAAGAGAAATGGCGACATTTCTAACTTTTAAGGATGAAGTATGGAAAGGTGAAAATGAAGAGTAATGGCGAACGGAAAAATAAAAAGTGTCCAGGGGCGGGAATCGAACCCACACCCTTCTGCTTACCGGGCAGGTGCCTTGTCCACTCGTGTGGTGTGGGTTCGATTCCCGCCCCTGGACACTTTTTATTTTTCCGTTCGCCATTACTCTTCATTTTCACCTTTCCATACTTCATCCTTAAAAGTTAGAAATGTCGCCATTTCTCTTTGAAAATAAATTACGATTTTTATAAAAGAAACATTCGCGGTATAATTTCAATTTTCGTTTTACAATCATCAGCCGCGTTATATTGTATTATAATTTATATTCATGAATATAATGATTATTGTTTGGTTAAAAATGTATGTTTCATTCTTATTTTTTATTAATTGTTAATTATTGTAGCAATTATTGTTAAATATTATTCATTGATGTTATTCTATTCTTTATTGTTAATTTATATCTGTATATATTTTCATTGATTCGGAAACACTGTGTTGTCTATATATTTTGTGTTTTGCTTAGTTTACTTATTAGTCTAGTTAAATCAGCCATCAATTCATGTTAGGTTAATCAAATTAATTAATGTAGCTTTTATTCAAAGATCATTAAATTCAGAGGTTCCTTGTTCAATTGCGTAGAGTTCCCTTACTCAAGTCTACAGAACTCATTCAAGTTGATCATCGCTATACCATAGCTCATAGAATTTGATCTCGGTAGTTAACGCGAATCTTACAATTATATTAAACCTCTTGTAACAACTATTTTTATGCAAATTGTGTTTCTTTTCAAATTATAATAAACTCTAATCTCTACGGACCTTACTGCAATAAAAACAGTTATTGAATGAGAGGGTTTGGCTCATCAGTGGTAAACCCTCTTAGCAGTTTCGCCAAATTAATCTCCAGACCACTCTAATATTAATTGTTTTTCTTATAAACCCTGTATTTTTATTAATGAAGGCAGCTTAAAGGTGTTTAGGGAACCTATGGACATAGGATTATAGGTGTCTGGTAGAAGATCTATACATATAATTACAAGGAATTTCATCGAGAAATGCCTTTCCGAAAGAAATGATTACTTATTGAAGTTATTATTAGCAAATTACACATTTAATATCATATTTATAATATCATTGCATTAAGGAAGTTAATAGTTGATGATTATGTGAAACAAAACACAATATACCAAAATGAATATTCCAGATTTAATTGATAGATGGCAAAAGAATTTTAAAATTAAACATTTTATTTATTTTATTTTTTTTCTTATCCCTAGTACACGTGGTACAGGCCATGATAATCATGGTGGGTAGAAGTAAGCGATTACCTTTACTGTAAGTACACTACATGTGAAAAGCAGTTCGACTTTGCACTTACAAATGTGCCAGAGCCCCGTTTAGTTACTAGCACTCGCTGGTGGAGTTGAACTTTTGCAAGAATCGGGGCAATTGGAGCATTCTTTTTAATCAGAAAAAAGTGCCCAATCGAATACGGGTCGTAGCGGTCGAAAACCAACGGTTCAAACTATCCTTATTTATGCTTTATATTATAGGTATCTGAAGATTGATTTTAACTTATTATGATGGTAGAATTTATCTGTATGCGAACAGTTCTATATTATTAAATATTGTAACATAGTATTTATTAATTTTATTTATGTAACATAGTATTTCTTAATTTTACTATTTTTTATTTAACAGAGTGGTCATTTTTATGTTTTATATCTTGCGACTCTGTAAATTTCCCTCGTGGCTTATCTTTTTGTTTACCTTTGATAGTTTGTCCTTCCTCCTGAAGTTTTTTGTCTTCCCTAATTTTCCACGTGGCAATATCAATACATTTCAAAGTTTTATTTTCTTTAAATAATAATTGGACAAGACGTCACCAATAATATGCCACATGTACGATTGGCTAATTTCCTAGAATTAATCATTTCTATTTATTTTCTAAACAAAAAAAAAATCCATCGAATTCCAATAGAAGAACTGTGAAAGTAGAAAATCGTTCTAAAGAAAGCAATAGAGCTGTTGAGGACGGCAGATTGAGTATTCCTGACTCAAAGCAACAGAGACTTTTAAATTGCTAAATTCCTTCCAAAACAAAATTTTAAAAGAATGCAGGCGTTAAAACTTTGTTACAAATTTGTAAATTGTCGTCTAGTCTTTTTGTCTATCTAATAGTATTGTTTTAATACTGTTTCTAAACTGTTTCTCAATTACTATATATGTTTAATAGTTATATAGATATATATATCTAGTTAAAGTTAATTCTAACACGTTAAGATTTAAATTAATATATAATATATATATATATTTAATTAAAAAGGCATATATTGGATCAAAATATCATTTATTTTACCAATATTTCAGTTGGCTGAACACCAACCTTTTTCAAGGTGTTATAACATATTAATGTGTGTCAACAACAAACTCAGCGTCACATTAATATGTTATAATACCTTGATAAAGGTTGGCGTTCAGCCAACTGAAATATTGGTAAAATAAATGTTTTTTGATCCAATATATGCCTTTTTAATTAAAGATTTATTTATAGATTTCTCTATTTTCGAAAATATATTTTTAATCCAGTATTTAAAAGAAACTACAATTATATACAAATTATCTTCTTATTGTGTGAAGTCTATAATTATATTTATTAAAAACCAAAAAAAGGCATATCCTGACCAGGCTGATATGAGCATTTCTAGAAGGCAGAGCGCCATATAGTGGAACAAAAATAAACTAAACTTTTATTTTACTTGTTCTGTGATATTTTTCCAACCCAATTTCTTGATAAATCAAGAAAAGTCAACCACGAACGCGTTTCGGACTGTTGGCCCTCGTCAGCCTGGTGCAGACTGTACCTCTACGACAGATATTTGGACCCAGAGGCTTCCTGAGAAACCAAGAAATGGGTATTTAAGGCCAAATTATATTGATATCTTAAAAATAATATCAGAAATTTACGCGATGCTTTGTATTTATAAATTGATTGAATTTTAAAATATTTTTCTTTATGATTTTGTCTTTTTAAAATGAATTTCTGTCATAAAAATGCAAGTTTTTAAATAAAAAAATGAATAGTGTTTTTAATGTCATTAACATTTTTACAGTATAATATATATCCACATTTTATTTTTTTCTATTTAATATTGTTTGAAAATGTTCATGTCGATTTTGCCTTGTAATTTATAAACGCTTTTCTCGGCTTATAAAATTTGAAGAGAAACAAAATAACACGTACACTCATGGACAAAACTTAAGGAAGTGGTACCTTTTAGAATGTATACTGAGATTAAGACAATAACTCTGAGAGATATTATAGCGATCTTTATTGAAGACACGCGAGATAACCAAGTGTGAAAAAAATTACCTTTGTCTTCTTAAAAAAATAAAAATAAAAACAGGCGACCGGTGACATTAATATATGAAACTTCTTCAAGTTTTGTCCATGAGTAATTAAATGATTCATTAGCGCTCTTTCTGAATTAAAACTTGAAAACTATTTTTTGACGTTTCTTTGATTATGATTTTTAATCAAAACACTTTCATATACTTCCCTTATAATACCACGATCAAATTATTGGCAGGAAATTCATTAATTTGTGGTGAATCTCTCATCGGTTTCGCGTTCAATCCAAAATATCGCCCAGATATTACATTCGACTCTTTTCCTAAATATCTCAAGTACTGCAGAAAAACATTTAGCAGAATATTCAAACAAACTATGTTACTAAACTTTGTTACCAAACGTTTAATAAAAATCAAAGTCTGGTGTGAAAAGGTAAAACTTTCACTAAGTCCCAAACAAAACAGGTATACTCTATCTACATAACTATGAAAAATTGCCCATTAATTTTGATGGAAAAATAATTCAACCATCAGAAACTGTTAAAATTTTGGGAGTTATTTTTAAAAATCATAGACAAAGGAATAAGATTAATTTTGGAACACATGTTGACAATATAATTATGAAAGCTACGAAACTTAAGAATATATTATTCTTATTATGTGCACGTACTTGGGGCATTGATACTCGGCGTAGATTGATCTTATATAAAGCTATGATACGCTCTACAATAAGCTATGCATCAAATATTTGGTTTCCTTTTATCACTGCAGCAAAAAGATCCAAGTTGAATTCTATACAATATCAAATTCTTATTAGATGCATTCATGCTTATAGGACTTCATCTTCTTACATCACACATATACTAGCGAAAACCCCTTTACTGTCCGATTATCTTGAATTATTACAAAAAAAGTATAATATGACAAATTCTCTCACAGATCGAACACTTAAAAAACCCCTTCAAAAAGAATTAAACAAACTATATCTGGATCTAAAATTTAAATTTTATCTTTCTCAATCTAATGAACTGTTCAAGAAATTCTTTCCAATTGCTGTCCCAAATTTCATTTCTCCTGATAAATTCACTACTTTATTCTTAACTGGCAAAGGACCCTTCTTAAGTTTCCTATTCAAACTGAATGCTATCAATGATCCAACATGTGAATGTCGCTTAGATGTTGAATCACCAGAACATCTACTTTTAACTTGCCCTCTGACTAATCAAATTGTATGTAGATACTTTGAAACATTACCAAATTCTCTTTGTGTATATACTCTATCTTATGAGAACTTTGTTAAGTTTAGAACTATTTGTACAATAATTTACAAAACAATACTAATCCATCGTGTAAAAAATTAATCATATATAGGTAAATAATACTAGCACAGCACAATAGTCCTTTGGACTTCGTGCTTTTGTAACAATAAATAAATAAATAAATAAAACTTTGTGAACAGTGGATATACAAATAAGTATTAAGTAAAATTGGTAATAAGTAATAAGTACTGCAGAAAAAAAATTTAGCAGAATATTCAAACAAACTATGTTACTAAACTTTGTGAACAGTGGATATACAAATAAGTATTAAGTATACATTTGTAATAAGTAATAAGTACTGCAGAAAAACATTTATCAGAATATTCAAACAATGTTACTAAACTTTGTGAATAGTGAACAGATAAGTATTAATTTTATCTAGAATTTATCTCTCGCAAAAACAAGTAAAGGTTTTTAAGATATAATTTGAATAACCTTCATTAACGCATCATATTCGGACAAGAAAATTC